TGGGCGTTTCAACTGCTCTGAGTGGGTTTTCTGAGGACAAAGCGGCGCCATGGGTTTGGCCGTCCAAAAGAAAAAATGTCCGCGTGACTTGGCTGGGCAAAGGTTGGAAACAAACTGCATTCCACGTGGTTCACTGTCGAATGATTCGCGGCTTGCAGGGAGTAGCAGGAGCTCACCTTGCCCATGTCGCCACCTTCAAATGGTTGCGGGAAGTCATCATGTTGTAGAATATCTGGAGCTACGTGTCCTCCCTTTGCTGTTCTATCAGAAACCTTCCACAACCTCGCTTCCAGTTAAGGCCTGTAGGGGAGTAACCTTGGGTAGGGGCATGGGATTGATGCACTCATACTTCGAATAGACTGCGAGCGCGTCCGCTTGCAAAACCGTTTCCACGGCTTGCTAAATCAAACAAGTCCGCGTTCCCCGGAGTGTACCATGAGCGTGCCCTTCAACTTAACAGGCTAGGTCCTCCAGTAGAGAGGTTAGAATCAGGGTACCAACTTTTTGCATAGTCTATTTTCGTAGGGGAACCCCTCCCAACCAAAAACAACAACTACACCTAGCTGGGGGACCTAGTAAGGGTTGATTCTCCAATCGCTGGGGGACCATCCGAAAAGGTGAAGCGCATCCGACCTTCGGTTTGGCCCGTTTCCCCAAACGGCTCGCTCTCCGGCTCTCCGAGCTCATTGCCCCCTGAAAACTCATCAGGGCCATAAGGTGGCCTCTTGGAAAAAACAGATGGGTTCCCCTGGTGGATGGGAAATAAACCCCATCTAAACCAGGGGAACCCCTCTATTCTTGAAGCAAACCAACCAAAAAGGACACCTATGATCAGGGCACTGAATCCGAACTGGTGCGGAATCACTGCTGGTTTGATGAACAAACCGCGAGGAAAAGATGCGAAAAACCTATCACGTGGTTTTTGGCCGCCACTTCAGAGGGATCTCCTTTTTTGCTCGTTTCTTGGCGTACAGGGAACATCGAGAAAAAAAAAAAAAAAAGCGATTCTGTGTTCACTCTACCCAGGCCACCCAGCCTTGGTTGGCGTTGGAAGGGAAGCAAAGATTCAATTTTTAGCAGTTAAGTGGTTTTTGGTTGGATTTCAACCACTAAACCAGAATAAGCAAGAATGCTTTCAATGTTTCCCAACAACAACCACCCAGCATCCTTGATCTTGTTTTCTTGGGGGAGAGAAGGCACCGCGCGCTTTGCGCCAAAATCAACCCGACAAACCCCACAGGCGGCTGGACCGAGACTCTCGGACAAGACTCAGGGGCCTACCCATGGGTGACTCGTCTTTCAGGGTACCTGTTTTCTAGGAGTTGATTCATGTGGTTTTCTTTTCAACCATCGTTCTTTTCAAAACCCGGATCCGTGTTCCCTGCGTTTTTGTTGGTTTCCCGAAAAGAAGGCCAAAAGCAAAACCCTCCCATTTTGGGGGTCTTAAAAACACGAGCCACCCCTATTCCCTGTGCCACACACAATAGGGGGAGCCAATGGAAGTGACTGCAAGACGTTGGATGGACCAAATCTGCCTTACCAGTTGGGACAGGTGAGGTGAAGGCAAGAATAAGACAACCACCTACCTGGCGCAGGAGTTTGTCCCCACAGGGCCCCCAAAATATTGGTGGCTTCCTTTTCGCTTCCTTTAAGCCAATACAACAACCGTACCCTAAATCCACACAAACCCACCTGTTGCTTGCCAGTGTTCATTGAGGTAGGCGGATGGCAGGCAGGGCAGGCATATCCTCCAACAAAGCCACCATTTGCATGGGCCCTGAGTTGCAACTGGGAACAGCCGGGTCGTCCAAATGTAGTTTGTTTGGAGGCCTGATGTGCTCTGCCGCCAAAAGACAGAGTAATTTTGAGTATACATTTCAACTCATCATTAAACAATCCCATTGCAAATGTGTCCCATGCATCCCACCACTAGGTCCTCCAGGAGAGAGCCCAGAATAAGTTGGTACCCACTTTTTCCTGTAGTCTATTTGAGTTGGGGGGGTTCCTCCCCCAACCAAAAAAAAGTTGGGTGAGAGGTCGGTTGCACCAATTGCTGGGGGACCATTGGCCTTCCAACGCACGTCGAGAATCCAACCCTCTCAGCTTCCAGCATCGCCGCTCAGGGCCTCTAAAAGGTCAATGCAAGGCGTCTGAACATGTCCTGTTTTGGAAAACAGATGGGTTTCCCTGGTAGATGAGAAAAAACCAGCACGTAAACCAGGAATCGCCTTCTATGTTTTAAGCAAAACAACCAAAAAGGACACTAATGCGTCTGAAGGTGTAGAGGTTGGGTAGTCTCCCATTTACGAACCAGGGGTTCAAATCCAGATCCAAACCAATGCAAAGCGCGAACTAAAGGTTACCTCATCTGGGGTACACACAAATATGGTTTGATTCTGATTGCTTTGATTCTGATTTACAATTGAGTCTACCCTGTGTAAAATCGCTTTGGAGATCCCAGTCAAGTGGCTGTGAGTTTGACTACCCTACAAATCAATATGGAACCCAACAATGGGTTCGAGGTTCCTCTAATTAATTTCCGGGCTCTATGTTCATCTGCAGGGGAGAAATAGTTGTAAAATCTTCAAAATCGTTGGTGGACAAAACTCCTCAATGCTGTCCACCAAATCCCTCACATGGTGTTGAAAGGAAAGCGTCAAGGAAAATCAGACTCTGATCTGAGAGTAGCCAGAACAAACTTCAACAACAAGATGTCACACGCTGGCACACTTGCATCATGACGACTGCAACGCGCCCAAACGCAGGGCCCCAGGCTCCTTACGATTTTTCACCAGCATGCGAAGCATTTAGACTAGCCTCAGTTGTGTTTTAGTGGGGCAGCCACCAAAAAGAAAGGAAAAAGGGTGCCACTGAACAACTGAGTAGCTTTCAGGTGCTACAGAAAACCATATTTTGCGGTCGTCTTGCAGCATCTGCTGCTTCCAAGCCCATGCTATAGCTTTGATGTTGGCTCCTCCCCCCGGCTGGAGAGGCAACCAAGCAGGGCTGGGGGAAATGGAATCCACGAATCTGTGATACAACAAAACGGGCTTCCCAAAGACTCACCCCCCATATAAAGGGGGAGACTCCAACTTGTATCACAGAAGTGGTTGGATAAACCCCGAGTGATCAACCACAACCCTGCAACCAAATGTCTGCAACTGGGACACGTTGGCATCAAAGAAGGAGGGCTGCCCTTCGAACGTCCTTTGTCCGCACTGCATGAGCAGGCCGCGCCTTTCATTTCTGTCGCTCAGCGCACGTCAGAATGTGCTGATAATAATCTTAAAAGTGGCAGAACACCTACTGGTGAGTGGGGAGGTCCCCCACCAAAAGCAAGCTAGGCAGCTCCTTGAGTTTCTTGGCTGGTTTCGCACAGCCAAGGAGACGGTTTGACGCAAGCTCGGAACTTGCTTCTCCGAGTGTAGCCACCACAACTGGTACAAGAATAAGTGGCCACAAGTGCAAGTCTTAAAAGTGAACCCCAGCCACTGGGGAAGGAAAAGTTGACAGCCTGTCTCTGGCTGCGGCGCTCGCTCGCGTGCGCAAAATGTGCACAGTCGCTCGCAAAAAGTTGCCGCCTCTCAAACGGGTCTAAGTTTGGAACCTAGACATGCCCAAACCGCCTTTTGTGGGGCATGGCTCCCTGAATAGAAACCCGAGAAAAACATAGAAAAACAACCCCCAAGCTTCATGTTCCTCGTTCCTTGGCACAAGTGACAAACGCACAATCTCACCTCCTGGTTCGTTACTCCCCGGGTCCACAGCTCACTTGAGTGAGTTAGCCGATTGGGACACCTCTTGGCCACTAAAATTATGGAATTCCCAAAGGGGGGGGGGGGGTGCAGGGGGGAACCCCAAGGCGTTTTTAAGGAGCCCTATAAAACCCTAAGGGGTGTACCCCTCGGTTGCCGTCAGCGACGACCTACACCCCGAGGTCCAAACGTGCCTTCCTGTTCATGTCTTTCCACTAAAGGAGAAGCCCCTTGAAAAAGAGACACGAGGTTTGTGGATGTTTATTCTTTGAGATTTCTTGAGGGTAATCCTTGGGTTTGCAAGGGAAATCAAAACAAAAAAGGTCATCCAGTCACAATCAAGACCGCGTGCCAATTTTCGGCCAGCAGGGGGATTGTGTCCCAACTCGGGCCAGTTGCAACGGGGGCCGAACCTAGACAGGGTGCCTGAAAGCATATCAGCTGGGGCCTGTCAACAAACCACCTGAACCGATTTAGAGAATTAATTATAATGGCGTGTCTCCTCTGATAAATTCTCTGTAAGGTGCTATGTGGCTGGTGAAAGCGAATATTGTCCATAGGCAACATACAAAAGACAGACTAAAAGACGTGTGTCATGTTTTCGAGTACTTGCACATAACACCGAGTATCAAACACCCACACGCACTCACACACTCACCACAAGAACTTGTTCCCCCAAAGGACCTGATCAAAAAAAGGCGGTCCCTGGGCATTGCGCACTGCTCATGCTCAAGTTTCTGGTAGTTTTCAAGCTCAAGGGCCATCGATTTCCTCTCCCACAAACCAAAAAGCACACCTAGGTCTGTGTGTAGACTTGCTGTGGATGGACAAATTCTGCACCAGATTGAGACCATGGGAAACCACTGTTTCTTGGTATCTACAGGGGGAATCATCGGAAACCAGGCTTTCTTAGGTGGTGCCTAAGAGGATTTCGTCCGTCCGCATGGTTGCTGTTTCGCACTTTCTTCGGCTTCAATGGAGCAACTCTTCGCTGTACAAAAAAAAAATGTGCGAGCGCGCGAGACGAAGAACAGGGCCAAGCTGTGCGTCCAGGTCCCTTAACCGTGTCACCTAACAGGCAGGCTCTCTGAAAAGCCAACACCTCCACGGAATGTAGGTGAAACTTAAACATCCATTGGCGGAAACGTCCTCTGGAATGAGAACATGTGTCCAGTGAAATCGATTCCCTTTCAAACCAAGAGGGGATAAATGGAAGTACATGCAACTCATACAATACCCCTGGCTGCCAGCTCCAGATGTCCGGATTCGCGCCATGCCTGTTCCTGCGGTGCCGGCCGGAGGCCTCTCCGCATTTGGTGCGGCCCTCGCCTATATACTTGTCCACTGCCGGAATTGCCTTGAGCATTCCGCACGTACGGAACAGCGGTACCTGGCCGGCGTGACTTGTGACATTCGCGCCAAGGAAAATCTAAGGGTTTTCGTATTACACCCTGGGAATATACCCACCGGGTATTGACCCCATTTAGGCACATTTCCGGATAAAACCGTGTTATTTTCAACCATTCTGGGTCAGTCCCAAGGGTGTAATCCGAGGGTGTAATACAAAAACCCTCAGAGAAAAGGATGGGGGCGATGTGTTGGACAACATCGATGAGAATTCGGGTAAATGGATGACATGAAAACGATGTCCAAACCAGAGGAACCCATCTAGGTCCTCCAGTGGAGAGGTTAGAATAAGGGTACCAACTTTTTGCATAGTCTATTTTAGTAGAGGAACCCATCCCGCAAAAAAGGGTAAAAGGGCACTACTGGGGGACCCAGCCATCAACAAACCAAAGCCTCAAAAGGACACCTATGCCGCCCACCCGTTTGCCAACGCCATCCTCGAGGGGCTTTAGCGTCATAGGGGGAAGATGTTCGACACGACTAACCTCCAAGTCATCCAACCTCCAACTTCTATGGCCAACTCTCACCTCTCAGTTCTCTCACAGATAACTCTATCCTCTAACCTCTAGCTCAAAGCTTCCCCAATACCTAACTCCCCGGGGCTTTCGCATTTCGCGTCTGCCTCCAGCCTGCAGAGCCTGCCCAGTGATTCCTGCAAAGGGAACCTTGACAAACTGAAGCAAGGTGGGCCGCAGACAAAAAGCTCTTAGTCTCTGCCTTTGTATTGGAGCCCTGCTCAACCTCAAACTAAAAAATCGGACGGTCAACAAATGGCTGTGGCTCAAAAACATGTACCAAAATGACCACCTTGCATGGAAACTAACAGTACAACTTGCGCAACCCTAGGTCTTGAATTTTGAGCCACACCCAAATGCCTTTGCTTGTTATGGGCATGGGAAAATGAGGGTTAAGTCCCCCTGGCTGCTTGGCCTGAAGTGGATCCAAGAACCCTTCCCCATTGATACGGGCTATCCGGCATTCGCTTCGGCAAAACCCCGCCAGCCAAACCCCCGTCACGTGCTATGTGGGTGCGTCATTTCGTAAGGGTATATATGTTGGTTTGACTGGAAACGCAAGGGAAACCAATCGAAAACCACCCCCGGCAGTGTGGCAAACCGATTCCTAACTTCGAGGAGCTCGGCGACTGCCAAACGAATCATCGAAATAGCTCTTTAAGCAAAGCCCAAGGAGAACCAACAGCCGACATGAGATGCCAGACCCAAAAAACCCAAGCCGGTTTGACCCCAAGCTGGTTTGCCCTCATACAGTCTAAACAAGTCTTCAAATGGCAAACGGAACACCTGCGGAAGGGGCAGTTTCTCTTGTGCGCGTGCGCGCAAGATCGACCTCCATTTGCGGATACGTCCCTGGAACATGAAAACACACTTCCAGTGGTGTTAGATTCCCTTGAAAAGCCAACAGGGGAGAATAACACATAACCCCCGCCGCCACCACTTCCCACCACCCCCAGCACAAACACCCAGCAACCCCCAACCACCACCACCACCACCACCACCACCCACCCCCCACCACCCCCCACCACCCCCACCACCCCCCACCACCCCCCCCCACCGGGCGCCTGAAAAGGCCCCGACCCCCCTATTTCGCGCGCCTGTTTGGGGTCAGTGACGGTCGTTCGCGACCGTGATCTTGGCGTGGGTTGAGAACGAATTAAAGGTACTCCCTGGTTGGCATAGGGAAGCCAAAAGAAGCCACTTGCCATTTTGGGGCTCCAAAACTCACAATTTTGAGATTCCATGTGGGCTCTGTACATTAACCCCGCATTAACCCACTGGTTGCATGTTGATCGGGTGTCCACTTTTAGTGACACCCTAGGATGGGCGGCTCTTAATACAGTCCCATTAATCAGGTACCCCCAAAACACGTGGGTCCCAAGGAACACATCTCTCAACTAACCATGTTACAGGAAATGAAAAGGCGGATATCCGCAACCATTTATGGCAAGGGGATTGTCTCTTACTGACCTTCACCAATCCCCGGGTTTTGACTGTGGCTCATGTGGGCTGCAAAGGCTTTGTCCCGAGCTCCAACAAACCCGCGGGTTAAGCCCCAAAGCTTCCACGACGGCAAAGGGACTTGTGGCCGAATGTAATTTCCCTCCAGCGACGGCATTTCATGTCCAAAACCCGTGCTGCCCAAAGAGAAGTTGGAGGGGTGGTAGCGCTTGCAATTTCTTTGCCCTGGACACGTGAGAGTTGCTGTTGCTCTCAAGATGCATGCGCGCAACCAATTGAATTGATGCATAGACAGAAAGTCGCACGTTGATCCCGTTGAGACCCCGGCCATTGTGGCAGAACCTGAGGATCAATGCAGGCACGCGACGCATTCCTTACCCGCGGGCAGAGCCCGGGTCAAGCCAAACCCGAAATGAGCCTCCTGGAACCAAACCGAGTCTCCCCAACACAATGCCCCCCCCCCCGCGCCCGCCCGTTTAGACGCGAAGAGAAGATGGCTGGCGGCTTCCATTTGCGGAGGTCCCTTCGAACAATTAGATCCATGGCCCCTGATAAAAAGCAACACGTGTAGAAAATAAACATGCAGGATGCCAAATTATGTATTTGTTGTATTCTACGATAAGCCCAGTAGTGACAAATTCCCCTTAAAACCAACAGAGGGGAACAGTACAAGAACAAACACACATGCGCAGCAAATTTAAGCTAAGTACTATGGTGGCGAAACGGCAATCACAAGACTGATGTGGGAACTCTTGGGCCAGACCGACTGCCTGTGCATTTCCCATGCTAAAAACTGGGCCTTCCGTTTTTTGGGCGCACGGAAAAGAACTGAACCAAGGGTAACCACTGCAGGTCTGAGTGGTTTGGCTTGTCCACTGAAATCTCCAGCCGAGGACAGCCCCTGGAGCACTTGGCGGCCCCGAACACCCAAGTGAGTCATAATCAAACCCAGTATTAAAATGATCTACCCAGAACCATGCTTCAAGAATTGAGAAGGCGGGTATCCGCAGCTATTTATGGCAAGGGGATTGCCTTCACCAATCCCCGGGTGACGTGGCTCAAGTATCCTTTGGGGGTGTCCTTTCTCCAAGATTCCAAAGCAGGGGCCCAAGGTTCTCAGCGAGCGAGTGCCCTCCCTTGAAAACCTTCGAAGGATATGCCTTTGGATGTCTGGGATTTGAGCGATCCTCATCCGGACAAAAGTGGACCGAAAAGGGAAAACCATCCCTATCTGAAGGGGGAGGAGGGGGGGGTTTGGGGCCCGGCAATTATGTTGATCTGGTCTTCCCAGGAAGATGGAATGCCATTGAAGATCTCCAGAGTTGAAATCAAAATCGCAATCTCCCCCCTACCCCGCTTCCATCTGACCCGGCAGACATGGAACCACGGAGATCTCCGGACGTCACCCCTTGGTTGCTGTTGACCCCTCTGCAAAAAGTGTGTCACTTCTGGGTTTAGTGGAAAAAAACCCACTTGATTTCAACCACAGAGTTCAAGTCTAAAGATCCGTTAGCAGTCAACACCCCTCCCCCAATTCCCTACAGCGGACGACCTTCGAACCTTCGAACCTCCGCGCCTTGGAGAACCGGGGCACCCGCCTCAAGGTTGGGCCAGCGGGGAGTGGGCGAAGGCTGAAAAACCGGGCCCAGACTCAACATGGATTTGGCTTAGCCCCCTGCAAATATATATATATATATATATACATATATATATATATGCATATATATATATATGCATATATATACATATGTATATATGCATATATTTATATATGCATATATGTATATATATATATCCAGTAGTGATAGATTCCCAACTGCTGTTTTTAGGGGAAAGTGTCAGGGAAGTAGGAACTTGGGCACAGGCCAAGTAGGGAATCCCAGAAATGCAGGTGTGTTTTTTTCCCGGCGGGGAAAAGGTGCCCAGTTTCCCGTCAGCCCCAGCAATCCCCCCCCAACCGCAACTTGAAAGACACACACACACACACAACTCACTTGCCAAGTAGAAATGAAAGGGATCGCTTTTGGGACCTATACCAAAAGTGGAATAGAGGTCGGCTTTGAACAACCTGGCTTTGGTCCGGCTCTCCCAAAGTTTGATACCGATGCACAACCTCCCGTAGCCACTAGCCACTCCTCAAATTTACATGAACCACCCAAAACAATTTTGGTTTAGAGGAACTTGTCCTTCTGATGGATCTCTTTGGGTGGTACGTGCATTTTCACGGGAGTCCTATCCCATACTGTGGGGCCCATTGCTACCGGGCCATCTGTTGTACCTGCTAAGCTTGCTGGGTGGAAACTACACGGGGTGGGGGGGTTCTGTTGTACCCACTGGGCTCTTTGGCGAGTTGTTTCAGGACTGATGTGCTGACCTGAGGCTGGGCTCAAATCTCCTGGTCTCGAATCTTCCTGCCGATTTCCCCCGTAGACCGGCCCCCCAAACAAAGGCGAGCCACGTGCCAAACCGCGGCGGAAACGCCCGGAAAGGCGACGCCTTCGTCCGGTTAGCTCCCAGAGAAGTTTTTTTCTCGGGACTCCGGAGGCTTCCGAATAGACCGTGGAAGGATCTAGCCCAAAACCAAGAAGCAAACGGGTCTGGAAGAACCTAGCACATCCACCCACTAAGGAAGTGGACACCGCGGCTTGTGTTTGAGGGTTAAGTTGACCCCATGTGTTCATCAACCCCAGTGTTTTTTTTGGGGGGGGTGTCCCGACTTTTGTCAAATGCGGGGAATCAGACCAGTTTTGGAGGGAACAATTCTCCCTATTAATCAACTGGCGTTGATTTTATTTGGTCAAAGACAACATAAATAACAGTTGACCTTTTATATTCGGTTCTAGTGGTCAACATTACCTTCTTTCAGCTTGGTTTAGAGGGAGGCCAGGAACACCGAACAAATCGTGGCTCTGAGTCGTCGAGTCCCTAAAGCGCGCCTCCACGGAAATCCGAACATCCGCGCCTGGCCAAAATTCGGGCGCGACTCGTGTCGATGTTTGGCCCAAAAAAGCCCACGCAGGTGGTCTATGCTAGCAACCGAGCGGCCCTGACCAGGTGGATTTTTTTTAGGGGTTCAGGTGACTTTTTGGCTTTGAAAAAAAGGAAGCTACAGGGAACCCCTAGGGCACCTACCCAGTTTTGGAGTCCCCCAATTTTGAAGCACATACGTTGAGAAACCCGGTCAAAAAAAAAAGCGCACACAAATTTCCATAGGCCCGCAAGGCAACCCACGGTGCAGTCCACGCAAATCCCTTCAGCCAACGATGAGTCCATCCTTAGACCTGAAATGAGGCCTGAACAAGCGGAGACCCTGGCGAAAACACAAGCCACCGCATCTTTGGCGTACCCTGAGAAATGGGTTGAAAAAGCCAAGATCATGGAGCAAAGGCCATTGCCTGAGACAAACTCCGGGTAGAAACACGGAAATAGCACGGCGACACAAAAACCTGGCGTCATGGCCATTGAGAAAAAGCGCATCACATGGCGGTTGAGGTGTTTGTTTTTTTTGCTAGCCCCGGCTTTTTACTAGCCCCGGCTCGGCACAAGGCCTCCCCCATGTGGCTCTGAAGAGGTTGGCTGGGAACCCTTGCTTCGCTCTCAGGTTGGGGCAACAAGCGCCTCGCTCGGACTGGGGCGGCCAATTGGCTTCGATTAGGCGGCAGTTCAGAGTTGCTCCGCGCTGGTTTCGGGGGATTGTTGTGCTTGCTGAGGTCTTATATAATCAGGGCCGGTCTTGGGTTTGCTTGGGGTTCATTTAGGCTTTGTAAAGGGCTGATATCCAGGATGCCGTTGGGGGGGTTTAAGGTAAACTCCCCCAACAGCATCCTGGATATCAGCCATTTACAAAGCCTAAATGAACCCCAAGCAAACCCAAGACCGGCCCTGATTATATAAGACCTCAGCAAGCACAACAATCCCCCGAAACCAGCGCGGAGCAACTCTGAACTGCCGCCTAATCGAAGCCAATTTGCCGCCCCAGTCCGAGCGAGGCCGGTGATGCTGGGGATGCTGGCCCAACCAACCAACCAACCAACCAACCAACCAACCAACCAACCAACCAACCAACCAACCAACCAACCAACCAACCAACCAACCAACCAACCAACCAACCAACCAACCAACCAACCAACCAACCAACAACCCAACCCAACCCAACCCAACCCAACCCAACCCAAACAACCAACCACCCAACCAACCAACCAACCAACCAACCACCCACCCAACCAACCAACAAACCAACCAACCAACCAACCAACCAACCAACCAACCAACCAGTCCCCTGGCCAGGGCTAAGCCCCGAGCCGGGGCTAGTAAAAAAAAAAAAAGAAACGGTTCCATCACATGGCCATGGGTCAAAACCCACATCGTACCCCCAGTGAACATCCCAATCCCCACTATACACTAAAATAGATGGACCCACGGCCACATCACATGAGTCACAATCAAAACCGATCGGTACAAAAATGTGAACCCAGAACCATGTAAAGAAATGGAAAGCGGCCGCAACCATTTCCGGCTGGGACTGCCCCTTACTAACCTTCATCTACCCGGGTTTTGATTGTGGCTCACATGTCATGGTCGTTGATGTAAAGGTACCTCGAGATCCGGACCCAAAGCTCTTTGGTCTGGCGGGACATCCCATCCTTTCTAGGCGGTCCTCAGATCCCCCGCGAAAAGTGACTAACCTTTGGTGGGTTGAATGGAAATCCCAACCAAAAACAGAAAGCTGCAAGGCTAAGGAACCGGCTGGCTGGGAACCACCAAGCTGTGGTTGACGCTTTTTTTTTTTTTGGGGGGGGGGGGGGCGCGCGCCTTATTTGGCTCGGTTTAGGGAAACCTTTGCAAGGACACGGGTCAATGGGAGAAACGGAGCCCCATTTCAAGTCGAGACGGAGCCCCGTCAGGATCTGGACCATTTGCCTCACGAAGCTGGGGCTAGAACCAAACCAGACAGATTTGAGTCCCTGCATCCAGCCAGGGCTCAATTTTGGGCAGAATGAGACGTAAACCCATATTTTTTTCAAGGGACCGTGATTGGTGGATTGGTGGCTTGGCGTGGTTTCCCACTGACCCTCTACAAGAAGGGCTTCAAATTCCCAGACCAATCGAAAGCACCAACTCGGGAGTACCTGAGCTGTTGGCTGTGTCGGACCAACCATGGTTCCCCCAAAAAGTTGAAATCTAAAGATCCAACCAAATAGCAGCCAAGATCATCTAGGTCCTCCAGTAGAGAGCTTAGAATAAGGGTACCCTTTTTTCTGTAGTCTATTTTAGTAGGGGAACCCTTCCCCCAAAAAAAGGTTAAAGGGCACTACTGGCCATGACCTTGACAGAGAAGGAACGAGGTCTCGTGGCAAGACCGCAGACCAGCAACACCTGACGGAACCTGTGCTACGATCGATCCCCAGGAGGGCCAAAGTTCGTCCCTGGAAAAAAAAAGGACCCAATGCCAATTGAGCCACAATCAAAACCCATATTAAATCAACCCCAGCTTGCTAATAGGGGGGGGTGTTCCCCTCAAAAAAAGTGGTCTAATTCCCCACATTTGACCCAGGGACACCTCCCCCCCCCCAAAAAAAAAAGCAGGGGTTGACTAATTTGGGGTCAACCATGTAAGAAAAGGTCGGGACCCCAATCCACGTAGTATGTTCAAGGACGGACATCCGCACCGATGTCTGGCTCTTCTATCCGAAATTTGATGGCTCAACTCTCTTGCCTGGGCTGCCCTCAGATTCTCACTTTTAGTGGGTTAAATGGAAATCCCCACTAAACCCTAAAAAGCTAAACGGCTAAGGAAACGGATGCCTGGGAGCCACCAAGTATCCAGTTTGGTCATTTTGCGCTTTGGATGAGTCCTTGTAGTCGAGTCTGGCCGAAACGAAACCGGGCCTTCCGCGTGTCCTCGGCATCCCAACGGCTGGCGTACTTCGCGTCCTCTCAAAAAAAGAAAACGCTCCCCAACCAAACCCAAGCCTCGGTACAGTAGCAAACAACCTGAAGCCCTTGCAGCCCCCTGCTCCAAAACCGAGAAAGACCTGAACAAAAGCTAAAACATGCCAACAGTGAAGGAACCAAACCCAACCAGAAACTGTGGTGCCTCTGGGCTTGAACGAGAAAGCGTTGCCATCTGCAGCTCTGCCCAAAGGACATCATCATGGAACTGGCTATGGGTCAAAATCCCGTACCCCTAGTGAACATCCCAATCCCCACTAAAATAGGTTCTAAAATGGGTGGTGAATTCACCTATCCCAAAATGGTACCATTGGTGTTGATCCACAGCCAGCAGGACCAAAAACTGAAAAGGTCGATTCGCGCTGGCTGCAACCGAGGCAACCAAGCCTTTGATCCTCACCCCTTCCCAATTTCTCCCTTCCTAACTCCATGGTTTCTCCTTATGACTCACCCTAAGGCTCATGACCCCTACAATGCAGGCCCCCGGGCCCTCTAATGAACCCGGTCCCCTCAAAACCCCTCGAAAACAACCCATGTTGTTCGTCAAAAAAAAGAGGAGAAAAACGAACATCGGGTTGTTTAGGGCCAAAGGAAAAAAGAAAACGGGGAGCCTCAGGGCAATTCGACCTCCGACCATGCGCTCCACGCGTCGCCCGCGCCGGTCCTTCTTGGGTTTCGGAAAGGCCGCGGCCCAGCGGCGAAGGAAGCCTCGCGACGCGAAAATGAGCGCGGGCCTGGGGTCCTTTCCCCGACTCCCCGTCTGGCAGTTTCAATGGAAACCACCGGTTGGAAGGTTGACGCCGGTGTTGAAAGACCTCTGGAAAGTGGGCCTGGAAGAAAGGAATTCCGAAGTGGGGGGAGGGTATCAATCAGGGGTCAACATGAAGCTTCAACTTTGGTCATGATGGTGTCCGTGCAAGATCATTTGACAAATGGCACTACCATTGCCATCCACCTTTTTCACAGAGACAGCTCCGCAGGTCTCAAAGGTCTGGCTCTGGACAAAGTCCGATTCACACCAGGGATAGTTTTGCTAGGTCCTCCAGTAGAGAGCTTAGAATAAGGATACTTTTTTTTCCGGTAGTCTTTTTTAGTAGGGGAACCCTCCCAACCAAAAAAGAGGTGAGCGGTGACCAAAAATAAAAGGACAAAAGGTCATGGTATGGGACTGGTGTCCGCGCCATCTTCCGCTGGCTTCCGCGGCACGGGCTTTTGCTTCCGCAAAAGTACTTTGCTTCCACGGCTTCCGCGCATGGTCTGTGTGGGATTTCTGTTGGGCTTTGTTGGGGTTGTTTTGCGCAATGTGCTGAAAGCTCGTTTCAAATGCAAACAAAAAGAGTTTGGTTTGTTTTATCCAACGCAACTTGCTCGAGCCAGGTTCTTGCCCTGACCCCAACTGCGCCAAAAGCAAGAAAAAAAAACACGTATAATCTAGTACAATTTGTTTGCCCAAACAAAATGTTTTCCAGACCGACTCAGTCTGGCAATCAAAATGAAGAATAAAGACGATTTGTTTGGCTCTGACAAGCTTTTTCCCAATGCAGCTTTTTGACGCGAATTTGTTTGTGCCAAACAAATCGCGGTTGGATTTCCGACTTCACAAAGGAGGATGGGTTTGTGAGGCTAGCGCTCGTTTTGGTCAGAGGGGCGGAGTGAAGCAGTGTGTAACGCGGACATAGCTCTGCCCCGCGTTCGGTTCTTCCCTGGTTTGGTTTTGGTGTCTAGTTTATTGGAGTGTGGGGCGCAGTAAAAGCGATTTGTTTGGCCCAAACAAATTGGCTTCCTGGTTCTTTTTTCTCCAAGAACCCGGACCAAAAAAAACAATTTGTTTGAGCCAAAAAAAATGTTCAGTTTGTTTGCCATCTGTGAAGCTAGCTTCCGCGGGCTTCCGCAGCAACAAAGCTTGCAATGTGCTCCGCAGAAGCTTCAGCAAGCTTCCGCGCCCCAAACAAATCCTTCCGCGGAATCCCATTTTGGCACCCCACGACTAAGTTTCTTCATAGGATTTTTTGATCGCCGCTCAGGTGAGAAAGAGCACTGGGGGACCGAGGGAATGTTGAAACTAACCCTCTCCCGACTTTTCTCGGGACCCAGACCCCTCAAAGAGCTCCTTTTCGAAGGCCCTGATGATTGACCCCAGATCGAAGTAAAGCCCGTCCTGTTCAGGTGGTCACCCACAAAAGCGGAGCCTGTAAACTTTGGAGTACGAAATATCGCTATGTCATAGGCCTGACTAGGGCCCCCCCTAAAAGGCGAAAAGGAATGGCCTGGATCGCCAGTGGCCGGTTTTCTTCCAACTTGACCCCAAGAACCCAGCTTAGCAGCGACTGACCAAAAGCGAGCGCCACCTGGCCATCTATGTCATTTAGCTTTCCCTTAACACAACCTAAAAACTTTGGGTATCCAAAAAATCAGAGACCCAAATCCACCTTTCTCTCCTGAAATCCACTTGCCAGGTTTCCTGTCAGGACCCCGAACACGCCGCCTTCCCCCAAGAAACCTCCGGGCGCGCAAACCCCCAAAAAGCGCCCGCCCCGCTCGCCGGATCTCCGACTCAGCCGCCGAAGTCAGAAGCACCTACCCCGCATCCGAGGCCCTGACTGGGCGCGGCCTCGTGTTTGATCTCCTCCTGCGCCAAGAAATTGGGCCGAGCTTCCGACGTCCAGAGAAAGAGTCGGTCGCTGTTTTCAGTCACTGTTAAGCTGTTTTTTGGGGGGTAAAGTGCATGGGAAAAAAAGCAGCAACTGGCGATCCAGGTGTCCTCTTTTGGTTTCTGTGCCAAGGTGATCCTTCATATTTGCGCATAAGGGTACCCCCCAACATTTGATGGTGTTACTGGATCCACACATTCTGCGGTGTTACTCTCATGAACTGCGGTGCTACTGACAAATCTTAGGTGAAAAGGGTACCCTTAACAAAAACACACACACACACACACACACACACACACACACACACACACACACACACACACACACACACACACACACACACACACACACACACACACACACACACACACACACACACACACACGTTTAAACACACTCCAAAGCTGGCGTTGTTCACACCACGCGTCAAAACGACCAGAACAGTGACCCGTGCTCTTTGAAAGAAACTCCATCGAAATCGTTAAACACATTGTCCCATCCTTTTGGAGAAAATAACAAAACCCTCCGAAATATGTGTTCCCTCTACCCAGTTGCACAGTGACCTGCTCCGGAAAAAGAAAAACAACTTGGAAGCTGCTGTGGGGGTGCCCCAGGTTCAATGAACCCACGAAACAAAGAAGGGATTTGAGGCTGCCACAAAACCAGCCCGAGTAAAGTGGTCTACCCATCAAAATTGCCGGGGAACGGCTTGTTTTTGAAAAGAACCGTGGTTAAAAAGAATTGGGAATCACCCCCTAGAAAAACGTGAATCAGAGCGGTTCCCAGCTTTCATTGTGGTAATTTACTGTTCAGACCAGTTCTCTTTGATTTCCTTTTTGGTGGGGGGGGGGGCAGCTTGAAGATGCACTGCCCCCCCTCCCCCGCAAAAAACTCAGAACAGAAAAGAAGCAACAACAAGATAAAAACAAAACGACAGCTCCCTTTTGTCGCGTGCCATAGCCACTAAGGACAACCCTAGAGGATTTTGGGATCCCTATGAAAGGAACGCAAAGGAATCCATGATGAAGAAAGGGGACGTGGAAGAGATGACCATCCGGCGAATGGGCTAACTCTTTCCATCGCATCAGTTGGGTCTGGGGCATCTTAACCCGCTGCAACGACAATATGATGAAGGCTCCCCAATTTCCAGGAACAAATGGGAGAATTGGTAAGCTGGAGATATAGCCCGAGAAGAAGCCAAATATGTGTCATCGTAATTTCTATAATCCCAATTCTTGACATAGAATCCCAACTGATAATACCGACTCGAAAATCGTATCCCAAATTACAATGCCGAATATTTTTAGAGAGGCACTTTTCTTGGTCGACTTAGCGAACCCCCCTCAACGAGAACCAAGACCCCTCCCCGAGCATGAAAGCCCCCCGACAAATGCTCGGGTCAGTCTCCACACGAAGGGCTCCGCTTCGGCGAGCGAGGGTTCCATCTTGCGGACCCCCGACGCTGGCCAGCAGGGTGTAAAAGGGCACCCTGTTGGGCCAACAAGTTGGGGGCCATCCGGCTCTGAAGTTCTGAAGCAACAAAAACCCAAAGAGCTGTCATGCGCCTTTGAAAGGTCAAGCAGCCAGCCAGCCAGCCAGCCAGCCAGCCAGCCAGCCAGCCAGCCAAGCAGCCCACCCAGCCCACCCACCACTCAGTTGTTCAGTGACCCTGGAAAAAAACGGGAACCCTGTTTTGGGAAGACCATTTTAGTGGGGCAGCCACCAAAAAAAAAAGGGGGAAAAAGGGAGCCACTGAACAACTGAGACCCAAAGAGGGTGCCGAGGCCTCTCGACGCCGCGACGCCTTCCCCGATCGATGACTTCGGTCCTGTGAGGCATGGTACCTTGGCTCGGAAGGGCTGAAATGGGTCGGCCGGGTTTCTTCGATGTGCTTGGTGCCTGTGGGTGGGGTGGGTGGGGGTAGATGGGGGTAGGTGGGGGTGGGGGTAGATGGGGGTAGGTGGGGGTGGGGGTAGATGGGGGTAGGTGGGGGTGGGTGGGGGTGGGTGGGGGTAGGTGGGGTAGGTGGGGTAGGTGAGGGTGGGGTGGGTGAGGTAGGTGTGCCATCACTTTGCAGCACATTATCACAGAAAATGGCAACTGGAAACCCTATTCACAATATCCCAGCCCAACTCGAGCGCGAGGGAACCTAGGGAACTCTGTCAAATGCTAGACAAATAGCTTTCCAGTTTGTAGGAAAGCGAGCCCTCAAAAAAGGGTTGACTGTCGTTCGTGCGAACCCCGCTACCAAAAAAAACAAAAAAACGGATGGTGCTCAACTAGGTCCTCCAGTTTTGGAGCTTAGAATAAGTTGGTACCCTTTGCTTTCTGTAGTCTATGTTGGTAGGGGAACGCTCCCCAAAAAAAGTTGGTGAGAAAGGTTGCACCAATCGCTGGGGGACCTAGCAACCATATGCCTGAAGGTGGTTGCCAAAACCGTAGCTGGGACCCAAAGGTCATTGGGTTGCCACCCCACCCTGGCTGCGTTTGGAAACGCTCGTTAGCACAAGACGCAGCTTCCCTCTAACTGAGGTTTCCCATTGCCCTCTAACAAAGAACCAGGAGTTCAAATCCCAAAACCACCAATCAAAAAAACAAAACCACCAACGAAGGGCTACCTGAACAACGCACCTAAAGACGCCCAAAGAGGGGCCTCGTTTGACAACTCCCGCCAACGGAGAGCGGAGTAGCACCTACACAAACCCCTGGTTGCTTGATCAGTCCGCCATGAAGGGCTTGCCATGCAAATCCCATTCGCAAGCAGTGTCCGTGGGCATCAAATTCACTCACCTTTGACACTAAACTCATGTCTCTTTTTCAAAAGCCAGGCATGGGCTTGCCTTGTTTTGTCCTTGCGGCTTCCCAATAAGGATACCGATCAAGGGATCCGGATTTTGTAGAAACGCCCATATGTCAAAAAAACGCCCAAACGAACGCTTGGGAACCATTGATTCATCCTGCTTCGCACGTCAGGAATCGCAAAGGGACATCGCAAACGTAGGCAAGGCGGGTCGACGGTCCGCTCCGCCCCGATCCCAAAATTCCAAAATCCCGAGTCCAGTCAAAATTCGAAACTTCCAAGCTCCTACACCCCTACCCACCATCTTAGCTTCCAGCTACGCAACTCCCCGACTCCCTGGGCCCCAGCAACACCCAAACTCCTGAGCTCCCGAACTCCCGACCTACCCAAAACAAACAACTCAACAGTCCCACACTCACTTGGTTGCTTTCTGCTCCCCAGCTAAAAGTTTTTAACTTTTAGTGGTTTGATACGGAAACCCCATTTGTTGGCAAAAAGGTTTTCAGCCCTAACATCCCTTGGCAAAATGCACGAAAACGCTCACAGAAGCCGATACGACTCGCTCGAAACCGGCCTGACCACCGCGGCGCAGAGGTCCTCCTCGGCGCAGAGGTCCAAGAGCCACGCGTCGCACATGGCCTGCTTGGCCGATGGCCGAGCCTCCGCCTGCGCTCGGAGAATTCGGACTCCCGGTCGTGCAGTCGTGCAGTCTTCCCAAAACCCCTTCCCCGCCTCTGGGCTTCCATTTGGTTAATAAGACCCCTGGAAAAAATATACAACATGTCCAGTAGTGAAATCGATTCCCTTTAAAACCAATAGGGCAAAATAAAGAATAACAAATCGTTTCAGCAAATGAAAGTGGGTCGGCTGGAATGACCCCAATTATTTTCGGGAATCCCCCAACACCCCTTCCCTGACTGAGGTTGGGGGACCTTTCGGATCGCTTCGGATCGCTTCGGTTCGCTTCGGTCGCCTCTTTCTGCAGGAGGCTCTTGATGAACATAAAGCCTGGGCCCAACTCAAAGCACGAGATGCCCTCGCGTGATACCATGGAAACTGGGGTGGGTTCGCGTCGAGTCGATCGAAGGTCCAAAGCGGGGGGCTACATGGAGTTCAGGGAGGGGCAAGGAGCCCAATGCCGAGCCAACCAGTCAGCCAACGCCGAAACTGTCGAGTTCCTCCAGTAGAGAGATTAGAATGCAGGTACCCTTTTTTATGCAGTCTATTTTAGGGGAACCCTTCCCCAAAAAAGGGTGAGAAAGGGCACCTAGCTGGAGGACCTGGTGCTCACGCGCACACACACACACCCAAGAACTCCAACCAGCACTGGCCAACCACTTGAAGTTAAACACGTGAGCCACAATTAAAACCCGTTACTAAAATGGTGACCCAAAAACAATGCTTCAAGAATCAAGAAGGCGGATATCCGCAGCTATTTATGGCTGGGATTGACCCTTACTAACCTTCATCTACCCGGGTTTTAATTGTGGCTCACATGAGCCCGTGTCTGATTCAAAACCCGTTTCTCTGAACAACTCATTTCCCATTGAGCCCATTTCCAGTGAAATGAAACATGGCTTCAGTGGCCATAGAAAAACAAAGCAAGTGGGGGGAGCTGAATTTGAGGGGAGGCTTCGTCTGAAGGTTGGCACCACTCGGTGTTCCAACAGGAACCGATGGCACTAAAGACTTAGAAACTGAAACCAGCAGCTACCTTCAACCAAACTAGTTCGACACTTACACCTATTCAGGACAATTCGATTGTGCATAAAAAACTGTCGGTAGGCCTATCCCATTTATGTTCCTTAGCTGCAACCCAACTGGGTCACAATCAAAACCTGGTGTTAAAACGAGTCTACCCAAAACTGTGTAAAGACTCACACAGGCAAATCCTGCACCTATGTATGACTGCCGTCCCTTACTAACCTTGATCTACGGTTTGGAGTGCTCAGCTGACCCACAAAGAAAAATAGGGGGTCAAAACGTGTTAAGCAACAAAAGAGACGCGAAACATCATGATTGGTTTCTTTGGGGGAAAAACAGTTGTGGGCTATGTCAGGAGCTTCCGCTTACGGGTAGAGGTATGAACATAAGCTTTTAACGCAGTATGTCCCCTTAAGTAGTACAACACCTCGTCCCTAAACTCCATGAAAACCCTCCCCCAAATCCATGTTGAAGGGGACACTTCCAAAGCCCATGAGCATGCCCTGTGTAGCACCCATCTCGAATCTCTCGCCATCTCGCCAAACGATACTTCCGAGCCGCAGCTTTCCTCCCGCATCAGCAAACGCCTTGGCTGGGAATTCATATCTTCCTGGAAAATTGAGAGACCCCTGGAACACAGAAATTGAACTTGTCTCCTCCTGTATGCCTTTCGTTTAGTCTAAGCTATTTGAAATGTTGGGGAAACCCAAAGGAAACATGCCCAAATAGAAACACCAATGTTGACCTGACTTTTCTTACCCTCCCAATTGCAATGTCGGTTGTTCTGATGCAGTCTTCTCTCTCTCTCTCCATCTGTTTGTGTTAGAAGTAGTTGTTTCTTGTGAGTTTGAAAGATTCGTCAGTGCGGAACCCTGGCAAACGCCCATGAATTGCAGATGCCCAAACTTCTTGGATGACCTGCTCACTTGATTTTTGGTTGGCCGAAACACGCCCCAAACAAATCGGGCCTTTGTGATTTTCAACCGGGAAAGGCGGGGAATCCGATTCTTTTGTTCAGGACGTGAGAGACGTTGTCCCGTAGGGCCCGCAAGACATGCGGACTTAGGTCAACCGCTAGCCTGTGGAGCCCACACCGGCCCTAAGCCAGCGCTCAAGATAGAGGATCGACACACCAGGCCTTCAGCGGCCCCATATATTTAGGGGAATCATGTTGGCCCCGGATTAATCCCCTGTCTACCAAGATGGGGGTGTCCCTGGTTTTAGTGGGAATCACTTTTGGAGGGGAACGCTCCCATATTATGACACAGGGGTTTATTAATCCGGGGTCAACATTAGATCTTAGGGGAAAGCAGGCCTGTAATGTCGGCGGTCTGAGCCGGAGGCGTTAAAATACTTTATTTCTAGGCACGGTAGTTTTAAGGTGAAATTTGGGTGGGCGCCCCCTTCTCGTCCTCCCCAGTAGATCACCGGAATGCATGACCTCAGGAAGCCCCCCCTGCTTCAATGTTTTACCGCGGGTGACCTCGAGACGATTAAGCAAATAAACGTTGAGCAATGATTCTGCAAGAGAGTACATTGAAGGTTGATCGAAAGGTCATTTACATGGAATAACCATTTGGGGAAGCCACTAAAAAGATGATACGTCCCACTAAACGGCAAAAGTTACCCATGGTCATTTGGTGGCCAGCAATATTGATCAACCCCCACATACTATTCAATTTGTGAAATCGAAAGGGACTTCCATCCATATACCAAGTGCGAACACTTTGCTTCTACAGCATTGATCAGAATTTGTCTGGAATCAACAAGCCGACCGGCCTGTGACTACCAAAAGACTCGAAGTATCTCCTTAAATGGGCCTATGTCAAAAATTAAAGAAAGCCGACCCCCAAATGGTGCTTCTCCTTTTGGCCTCCCTTCAAACCGACCTGACGTGGGTCCTCAAAAACACGAACCGCCAAATTTGCATCCTTCACACCTTCCAAAAAAATCGCATGGGCGCCACGGGGCCAAAGTGAGTGCACTACATGAAGCTCTGAACCCATTGACCCCATAGCGTTTGGCCAAATGGAGTCCTACTGTGGGTGGACGAATTCCATTTCGCACTACTTTGAAACAATCACACACCAAAACGTTCGTTGGTATTTACAGGGGAAGCGAATCAGCCCCAGGGTTTCTTAGGTGGTGCGAAATGGATTTCGTCCATTCACAGTATGGGCTGATGGTGGTTGATCAAAAGGTTCTCACATGACCACGAAGATCATATTTTCCACTTGGGAAAAGTTACCCATGGTAATTTGCGGGGCAGAACTATGGATTCACCCCCAAATGCCAACTGAAACCTTTCAGCTCGTGTTACCAGTGCAGAGCACTAAGCAGACGGGAGTACACAATGTTCAGCCGAACGCCTTGGCCTGCTCATTTCCTGAGTGGGTCCAACAAAAAGTAACCACCAATCTTTGGGAATGCGAAACCGAAAATGCGACTAAACTGAAAATGGTAGTTGGTCCAACCAACTAAAATGGTCCAAACCGAAAATCGAAACGGGACGATCAATCAAACATCCGCACATGCCGGGTGTTTGTGAGAGCCTCGGCCTACCTGCGAAAGATGTTTTTCAGCCGCGGCGCCCGCCCCAAAAGTCCGGCTCCTCGCTGACGGTGGCATTGGTCGTCGCCTTTGCGAAGCACTCTCAGGAGTCGCGGGCTGGGTGTGGTCCCCTTTCCCCAGCAGCTCTCGCTTGCTTTTTGCTCCCCTGCTAAAAGTTTAACTTTTAGTGGTTTAATGGAAAACCCATTAGTTGGCAAAAAGTGTTCTCCTAACATCCAAGCAACATGCACCAAAGAGCAGATTCAGCTGATCCTACCCAAATAAGTTCTGAGGTGGTTCGGAGCAAGGGAGGGTTCCAGAAAAAAATCCGGAGGTTCCACTGGTTGCTGCTGGGAGCTTATTTTGGGGGTACCCCCCTCCGGGTCAGCCCTCCCCATTTTTGTGGCTAAATAGGACCTATTAAAACTGGACCACTGGAAACCGATACTCTCTGGTCGATCATCCCAAAGTGGTCGATCCCCATCCAACCATCAGGGCTGTTACGTCAAATCTTCGGAATGGGGTCGCTCGGCCAAAGGAAGGAAAGCGAACAGTCCCAGTTTTCCACCACCCTGATAAAGACTAATGAGTCACTTGCTCAAAACCCGGTATTAAAACGGTCTACCCACAGCCATGTAAAGAATTTAGAAGGCGGATATCCGCCTCTATTTCTGGTTGGGCCCTTGCTAGCCTTCATCTACCCGGATTTTGATTGTGACTCTAATGGGAACCGCGGATTGATAAAACCCTCCTTGTGCTAATAGGGGGTGTCGCCACAATTGACTCAAAAACCACAAGAGAAGGCAAACCTGGTTGATTCCTTTTGGCTATTCTGAGGCGAAGCACGTTGCGCTTGCGTTGGTGAACCCTGAGCCCAGTTTCACACAACAGGCGGCCTCTTCGGCACTTCTCATGCAGTGTTTAGGTCTGGCCCCATGATTTTATCATCAGAGTCACCCGCAAAACAGCTGACCTGGCTACCCCCGCCCCATTCTGGTGAACAGCCCATGGCCCCAGGACGATTTTTCCCCCGCCCCCCAGTGAGCTGCGCGTGTCGTTTCGGTATTGGCAAGCGAACCTTCGTGGGGGCCGAGCGGCTCTTTCCACGGTGCGCAATGCCCCCCCCCCCAAAAAAAAAAAAAACAAAAAAACTCCCCCCTCCCCCGTACCCCACATACTCCCACCTACCACCTACCCCCACCTACCCCCACCCCCCACCTACCCCCACCTACCCCCACCTACCCCACCAACCCCATACCCCCCCACCGCCCCCTCGCCTGCATGGTATCCCTCAAGAAGGCGTGGGTGCCACAGGCGCTCAGGAACGCCACCACCCCGGCGCCGAAGACGTCGCTCTTGGCAGAGCCTCCCGAGCAGCACGAGTCGACTTCGGCGCGTCGACCCGACCCCTCCATTAGACACCCGGGACGTGTTTGGGGGTCTCAAACCCGGCTGTTTGAGGGCCCTAAGTTGATCGGGAGCGTCTGGGTGGTAAAAAAAGAAGCGAAGGCTGTGGGGGCTGATGCCAGTTGTGTTTTCTTGCTTTCTTCTTTGTAGTTTCGGAATCCACCAAACCAAAGGACAAGGATGCCACGGAACCAATCGGTTGGGACAGAACGCCTTCGGCTCCAAAAGGTCTAAGTCAAAGGTCTTTGCTTCTCATGCGCCGGTCGGCTTTCTGTGGCTTAGCCCTCGAGGGTCCAGTTTGAGCAAATTCAAACTCCTAGGAAGGATTCCCACAAAGTGGGCTTCGTCTGGAGACATGTACAGCTCTCCAGACGAACCCATGCGAGTGTCCAATTTTATTGTTTAACGTGGGTCCATTGCTGGACAACTAGATGGACCCCACTCGGATTGCTACTAGATCCTCCAGTAGAGAGCTCAGAATAAGTGTACCCATTTTTTCTGTAGACTATTTTAGTAGGGGAACCCTCCCCCAAAAAAGGGTAACAAACACTACTGGGGGACCTAGGCTACGCATCAAGGTTGCGGATTGCATTCAGGCAGAAAGCTGGAACAGGCAAGCTGGTTGAAATGAGGATTTGCGATAAGATGGAGCTGGAGACATGCTGCCTGCTGGCTGAGAACACAAGGGCTTTGTCAAGTGGCACAACTGCACAGAGAACAGAAAGAGGGGCTCGATCTGATCGTCCGATTGGGTCATAAAGCCAGCAATGGCACATGGGCAAGGAAGTGCAAGTAATATATAATCGCACCGTGCTGGACAAATCTTCATATCTCGAATTGGTTTGGTCATGCCAAACGCATCACCAAAGCGAAAAGCTCCCGGCCTGCCAAGGGTGAACAGGTGAACCTTGTAGCTGCTTCCTCGCCCCATATGTTCAGCTTCCCTCCAATTGGCCCTTTGGCTTGGAGGTGCGCCTGGGGACCCGTTCCCATCTATCAACAAGAGGAAGGGGGTCATCCATCCACAAAGCACATAAGACGCACATAAGAACACATAAGAACGGGCATAAGAACAAAGCAACCTGACGCACATAACAAAGCAACACAAGCTAGACGCGCATAAGAACGGAGCTTCTTGGAAGGCCGCGGACAGCCGCGCCTATCGCCTTGCATGTCAAAAGCCAAAGATCCATGCAACGAGCAGCTTCAAGTATCGCGCTTTTCCTTGGAGGGTACCCCCTTTTTTGGTGGTGCTAAAGGAAACCAACTAAAAACCGCCCATGTTCATTTCATTTGCATTTCTTTGGAGGGGGGTCCGGAACAAAAACCGAGCCACCCGTTTGGACTCCGCACATCCGACCGGGTGAACCCGGCCGCTCGCTCGCCCGGCCTCTTTGGCGGAGGAGAACCTCTGGAGCCGTGAAGCCTCACCGCTGGACACTCCATGGGACGGGTCTTCGGATCGAAGCGTTCGTGCGAGAAGTGAACTAATAAGGATATGTATGTACACATGTAACTGATAAGGATGTATGTGTATATATATGGATATGTGTACGCAACGCTGATGATGATATGTGTACATATATATATATATATGCTGATAAAGATGTGTTTGCAGTTGCCTTTGTTTAAGGAAAGTGTGCTCTGCCCGAGAAGGATATATATATATATATATGTATATATATATATACACACAAATACATACATATAACTGACAAGGACACGCCTTTAAACTTATCTAACTGACAAGGATGTGTATATATAGATAATATAGTTCTATGAGGAATGGGCTCGATCCTCTGCGCTGGTGGTTGCCCGGTGGGAGAAAAGTTGGCGCTTGGTTTGGGATTTTCTTTTCGCCAACTCAGTTGCCCAGTTTGAACCTGGAGCGGTGGTCACCTTTTGGGGCCCCAAACATGGGAACTTTTGAGAACCCATGTGGACCACTTTTCAGGTCGAGTCAGTGTTGGTTGCTGAGCAAAAAAAGAAAACGGTGTGGGGAAAAAGAAAAGACAACCCCCGCTTTTGAGATCGCAGGTGTACGGACACTTCGAGCTGCGGCACGGGATTGAAACTTTTGATCCACACAGAAGCTTCGTAGACGCCCGTTGAAACCTTCAAGGGATGGTGTCGAGGTCCTCCAGTTTTGGAGGTTAGAACAAAACTACCAACTTTTTTCCTGCAGTCTATTTAGTAGGGGATCCCTCAAAAAAGGGTCAAAGGGCAATACTGGGGGACCTAGTTAAAGCCGCCCCTCACAAACTCTGCCTAGGTTGGGACTCCAAACCCAACTGGGTCCATTCCATCCTCAAAAACCACCGAGCCTCAGGTAAATCAAAGCGGGTTCCCACCAGAACCCCCAACCAACCACCAAAGGCGAACAGGTCCCCGGAAATGCAACCAGAACAAACCTGTAGAGTTTGGTGAAAGATGGCACAACTCCTGAGGAATCTTCCGCTTAGGGAATCGCTCGCGCCATCTGCTTTGGTGCACATTTGGAACTTTGTCTCCAAATGGGTGTGGCTCGAAATTTAAGAGCTAGGGTTACGCCGGTTTTGGTCTTGGGGTCCATGTACCAAGGGGCCGTTTTAGTACATGTTTTTGAGCCACAGCCAAATAGAAAACCGAAACGCTTGGCTTCTTGGTCTCCCTCGAAACCTAGGAAGCGCACCCAGTGGCCACAAGTCACCAGACTTTTGGGTGCCACGCTAGTCCTCTAGTGGCCACAAGTCAGACTGTTGGGCCATCAGTTGGACTGATTGAACCGAACATCAAATGAGTCACTTGCTCAAAACCCGGTATTAAAATGGTCGTAATCCCAGAACCATGTAAAGAGTTAAGAAGGCTGGCCGCAGCCAGTTATGGTTGGGATTGACGCTTACTAACCTTCATCTACCCGAATCGGTTTTGATTGTGGCTCAAATGGGTGTGGGTCAAAATTAACCACCCACTGGACCACAGGTTTTAGTCATTGTTTCCATTTCTCAGGCTGCCATTTTGGGGTTACCCTATTTTTGACCCATAGCCAAATGATGCCTGGCACTCCGGTGTCACGCTTTAAGCTAACCCCTCGCAGAAACTCAGAGAGGCACGAGGCCAGGTGGCTCAAAAATAGGGTAGCCCCAAAATGGCTTGCCCTGGTAAGTGGAACCAAAGAAACTAAAACCTGCGGTCCCTGGTGGTTTAACAGGGATCCTTACATACACCTGAACATTGCAACTTGTAAATGCTGGCTTCCAACTTTATTTTGGTGTTGAAAAAAAAACATGCGTCAAGTGGGTGGTTGCAAAATTTGCATCTTTCATTTTGACCCATCACCTCCCGGAGACCGGAGATCGGACCCATCGCCTGGAGTGCCGCAGGCCCAAGCCACCTCGGCGCCTGGCGCTCAGAGGCGCGGAGGCGCAGCGGCTAGCGGAAAAGACCCAGAGACTCAGCCCAGTGGTGGGTCAAGCTGTGTGTTTTTTTCAGGAAATCGTACACCCCCGCAAACAAAACATATTGAAAAAAAAAACAAAACGATTTTTGTTTGTGGGGGTGTATTGTTTGTTTGCGGGGGAGTATTCCAGAAGGCATAGGTGTCCTTTTCGGGGGAAATAGATGGGTTTCCATCTAGATGATTAAACCAAAGGTAAACCGGGGCCATGTATTTTCTACGTTTCCCAGGATGTGTCTCTACATGACATGATTCCTTGCAGCTGGGGGGAAAAGCCATAGCATGGGCAACCGCAACATTTGGAAAACGATAGGGCGCTCACTAAACGTGACATGAATACTGAGTGGGCAAAAGGCCAAAAGGCCTTTCAAAGGCTCAGAGACTCAGAGGCATGGGAGAAAGGAAGGGATTCTCATCCAGAGAAGGGGTTCATTTCTCATCCAACCAGAAAATAGAACCGCCTTCCCGGGATCTGTTTCTGGATTCCGAATATTTTGTCCCGCAAGCTGCGCTGAGAAGGAAGAACTTTGGGCTTGGGTTCGAGACTTGGAAGCAAAGGGCCGCGGGTTGCTTTCTGCTGGCCACTTCAAGTCCCGTGGACAATCTCCGGACTTCGCAGCAGTCGAGCTTCCCAGCAGACAAGTCTATCCCAACTGACGTGGATGTTGAGGGGCGAAAACTCCATGAGGTCAAGGGGGGGGGGGGGGGGCAAATGCGACATGCGACCCGTGCAGCCGCACATGCACGTAGTGACCTCCATTGCTCTGTTCAAACCCAGCTATGGGTTTGGGCAGATTTTGGGCATGGGCATGCACCTGATTGTATGATCGGAGTGCCTGTGAAGATGAAGTGCCAAACAGTGGCTGCCCACTTTTTGGGGAACTAAAAGCTAGGTCCCCCAGCTAGGTGCTTCTCACTTTTTTTTTGGTTGGGAGGGTTCCCCAACTAAAACTAGAAAAAGCAGAACAAAGTTGGTACCCTTATTCTAACCTCTCTACTGGAGCTAGAAGGTCTGGGACACGGAAAGTGCCTTCATGGCCCTGTTTCTTTTTCTGTTCCCCGGAAAGCCGCCGCCTTTTTTTTGGGTCGCTCATATCCCATGTAGAAACACTAAAAGGCTAAAAGCTCAGGGGATGGCTTGGAGCCACCAAGTTGTTAAGGGGTACCCAACAAAAAGTGGTTTTCCGCTTGGTGATCAAAAACCAACCAAGCAAAAGTGTGTCTTTTTGAGGGCCCCCCCCCCAAAAAAAAAAAGATGTTCCGCTTGGTGCTCAAAAACCAACCAAGCAAGAAGGGCCTTAAATCTACCCCCCGCTCCATGGCTCGTCATCCTCTGTGCCTTCTGTTTGGATCGAGAGGTCGAAGTCGCAGAGAACCACCCGGCGCCCGGCGTCCGCCACCAGCATGTTACCTTCGGCCCAAAGCGACGCGACCGGTTCGACTTCAGCCAGCTGGGGCCGCCCAGTCCAGTGAGGTCTGGATCTTCCCAATTCCCCAGAGGCGAACAAAAAAATCGGGAGTCGACCCACGGCAGACATTTCGTGAACCTCAAAGCTCGGTTGCTTTCTGCGAAGCCCTGCTAAAAGTTTTTAACTGTTGGTTTAATGGAAAACCCATTAGCTGACAAAAAGTTGAAGTTCTAACATCCAAGCAAAATGCACCAAAGAACCTGTGGCCCATTCTTGAGGTCAGCTTGGATGTTCCGCCAGGTCCTCCAGTAGACAGCTTAGAATAAGGGTACCAACTTTTTTCTGTAGTCTGTTTTAGTAGGGGACCCCTCCCAACCAAAAAAGGGGTGAGAAAGGGCACCTAGCTGGGGGACCTAGTCCGGAATTCCCCCGAAGGCGAAAACAAGGGGATCCACTGCATTTACTCGCCGCAAATGAACTCATTGGGACTCTGCTGGCCAAACCTTCTGGCCATCTCCAGAGGATCAAACGCAGCCATCGTGTTTGTGGCTAAGGACTCAGCTGTGTCTGCTCCAGTACTAGCACAGCTCGAAGCCAACTTCTGGTAGGCTTTGCACCAGGCAGCAGTCTGCAGTTGTGTCACGGATGTTGCCAGTCAATCACTACATCCATCTCCAGACCAGAAGCTAGGTGCTCCTTGCAGGTCACCTTGGCCCCTAACCTGGGCTGCCCTCAGATCCCCCGCTTTTTAGTTGGTTAAATGGAAACTGCTACTAAACACTAAAAGGCTACAACGCCAAGGAACCGGATGCCAGTGGGTGGTCGCTGCCAAGTTAGAAAGTTGCTGGTAACCTAGGTTGTAACCCGCTGCACAAAGTCCCCCGTTCAGTGGAGTTAAACTTGTGACTAGTGGGTTGTAACGCAGGTAGCTACTGAATGTGAACTTCGGAATTGGTGCACGTTGCGAATGAGTCCACCACTCGCCAACGCCAAAAAAGGGAGCCAACGCCAAACGGCCGTTTGCCCCCCCCCCCGATCAGTAGGATCCGCGTTAATCTAAAACGTATGTTCTCCTTACACATCACGACACCGAACGGAAACTCCTCTCGAAGTTGAACTGACTTGAAGGGGAGATCTAAGGACCCCCTGTGCCTCGTTGCGGCACACATGCACAACTTGGGTGGTCTGAACTGAACCTCTGTTTGTGTGGCTGACATTGGCGACTCACTTCAGTCGCCCACTGGTAGAAAAGGGAACTCTGTGGCGGTAACCGAAACTGAAAACTACACACGCACACAAAACACTCGGAAGTATGATGATACGTGTCGAGTCTCGTTCAATGCTACGGCCACGCCGGAATAAGTACTGAACTGAACGGGAACCTTGGTCAATGCTCAACCCTCCTAACGCATGGCCTTTTCGGGTTTTGGAGCGCTAGCCTTAAACGAATGTTTTCACTGAACTGGGCTTTGACTCTCTTGGACACCGCACCGTCGGTAACATCGCGGTGCAGCACCTTAGGCACGTGGTTCGCTTCAAGAGGGGTGCTCCCTGTTGCCGGGAGCCTATCAAGAGAGCAGGTGTGCAAAGGAGCATCGAAAATTCAAGAATTCAGTGGCTGCAGCCCATGCGAAAAAAAAAGACATGTGTGGGCATGTGGCGCGGGAATAGAAACCCGACGGCGACGCCTCTCGAAGCGGTTGCGGAACAGGTGCGGAACTCGGGCCCGTTGGCACACACGCGTGCACCTTTGCAGCATTAATTTGCTGGACAGGCGCAGCACTTTGACAAGCTGAGGTACAGATTGCATGGCAGGCGCAGCACTTCGTTGGATTGGTGCTCGGATTTCGTAGGGCAACCACTTTGGCAGCCCGAGGTGTAGATTCGTTTATTTATGGCAGGTACTCAGGCACAGATTGCCGCGCTTTGGCAATGCTGGAACGCGCGTTGGAATGGTCCTATTGGCGCGCGCAGCGTCGCACGTGGACTTCCGCAAGGTCGGGCACGGATTTCGTGACAGGCGCAACAGAAAGAGAAACATAATGAAAGACAAAGCGAGAGAGCGACAGAAAGAGAAGGAGAAAGAGAGAAAGAGAAAGAGAAAGAGAAAGTGAGAAAGTGAGAAAGCGAGAAAACGAGAAAGCGAGAAAGCGAGAAAGAGCAAGCGAAAAAGAGAAAACAAGAGAGAGAGAGAGAGAGAGAGCGAGAGTGAGAAAGAAAGACAAACAGCCACAAAGAAAGAAAGACAAAAAGGAGAAGAACAAAAAAAGAGAGAGAAAGAGAGAAAGAAACACAGACAGGCAGGCAGGCAGACGGACGGACGGACAGACAGACAAACAATCAGCCAGAAAGAAATCAAGAAATCAAGAAAGAAAGAAAGCAAGAACCAAAGAACGAAACAACAAAAGAAAGAAAGAAGGGAAAAAAACAAAAGAAAAAGGACCCGGACCCCGCAAAATGGGAAAGCGATTGGTCTTCCTTTTGGTTGTCCCCTTTTACCCCCACCCACAACAAAAATAGACCAACTCAAAGACACTCGGCTTTCCATAGGCCCCTTGTCGTTTTTGTTCTTTCTTTTTTGTTTTTCGGAATGCCCCCGCCAAAAAAACAAAAACGACCTCTCTTCGCCTTGCGGAAATACCTTGCTGGTGCGGGAATGAGCATGAGGGAATACGACTTCTTGGTGGTTCCTTCAAAAAAAAAACGTGGGTCATGGTTCTCTTGCCCAATTCCCCTACCTGAAGACCCTTCAAGATTTGCACGACATTACAAGACATCGATAGGAAAAGCGAACGAGTTGGGTTTAAAAAGAAGCCCGGGCCAGTGCAGTTACATGTGGGTTTGAACTGTTCACTGCGGTTCATCAAAGTTCAGCGACAACAAATGATGGGGGCTGGCTGGAGAGAAGCATGGGGAACAGGAGGGGCTGCGTAATTACAAGCATGTTTCTCCTTTGGTCATATGCCTTTTTATTTAGATTGGTATAGTAGGTGCGTCAAATCTGCATGGGCACTCCTTTTTTCTTTAGGCATGGCTCCAAAAGGGAGCCAAAGTGAAGCAAACCTTTTAGAGGTCCCTGATTCACCAGACATAGAGAGATATCACACAACAGGGATCCTTACATTATACACCTGAACATTGCAACTTGTAAATGGAGGTGTCCCTTTATTTTGGTGTTGAAAAAGCAACATGAATCAAATGGTTGCAAAACTTGTTTTTTAGGAGCCCTGCACAATCAAACGCCATTGAGCTGAAGGTTGCAGGAGGGGGATCGAGCCCAGCAAAAACTTTCATGTAGAATTTGACAACAACTTGTCTGCTGGTGACCCCCCTCCAAAAAGTTTGACTTTTTGGGGGCTCAGTGGACAACAACTTTATTTCGTTCAAAAGTTAAGGTCTAAAGATCCAACCCAACAGCAATCAAGACAACCCATCAGGGGAAACAGGTCTCATATTGGCTTGGGGAGTTACCATCTAGGAGCTTCCATCCTGCCAGCCCTCTCGACCCTCTCTCCTTCACTCCGAGAGAAAATGAACCCCCGCAAAGTGGTCCGTCTCTCCATTTTGGGATCCCTTGCATCTTCCCAATCAAAGAGAGATTGTCTGTGCTCAGATTGGAAACCCCTGCTCAGTTCTCCGACTTCCTGCAAACTCAGACCTACCGCTTCAAAGGTCTTCCCATCGGGAAGCGGCGCCCCGTCAACGATTCCGCCAGCCAGAAAAAACTCCGAGCACTCTGGGCCAGGCACGCCGTGCCTGTGGATATGCGCCAGACCCCGCAGGATGTTGGTCATGGCAAAGGCCAACTGACAGTTGGCAGAGTGGAAAAGGGGGTCTACTCGTGAGGGGGTGAGGGAAAGGCGGATTAATTTTTACGTCCTATGTTCCGTGAAAACATCCCCCATTCATAAGGGGTGGGGGACCTGGAAAATGCATAAAGCAAAACTGCATGGGGTACCTAGGTCCCCCCCCTCTCTGCATTTTTTCTGGAATGGGGGATGTGAAAACTTACATCGCCCCCAATTCGAACCCCCGTCCGTTGACCACGAAGGAAGACCTCTTGCTTGAAGGTGGCTTTTTACCTCAGGTCTTGCCCCTAGCCCAACATTCATGGTGGTTTCTACCTCAAAATTTGCATGCCTGAGTCTGGTTTCTCTTGCGTGAACCTTCAACATGTTCGAGTGCACCTCAAAAGAGATCCCATATTTGAGAGCCAAACTCGGGTGCTTTCTGCTCCCCTGCTAAAAGTTTGACTTTTAGTCTTTTAGCGGTTTAATGGAAATCCCATTAGTTAGCAAAAAGGCACAAAGTTAAAGTCCTAACATCCAAGCAAAATTCACCAAAGAAAAGACACGCGATGGAACAAAGAGCAAGGACAACTCAAAACCCGGCACTCGAGTTCAGGCGAACTTCCACACGGTGCCACCAAAGGAAGGCTTTGGGGAGGGGGGATGTTGGAGGGGCGGCTTCCCAAATGAGTCACAATCAAAACCCGGTATTAGAATGGTCTACCCAGAACCCTGTAAAGAATTAAGAAGGCGGCCGCTGCTATTTATGGTTGGGATTGTCCCTTAGTAACCTTCATCTACCCGGGTGTTGATTGTGGCTGGCGGTAGCGGCGCTGTCTATCCTCCAGGGCATTGCCTGGGAATCACGGAGTGAACCCTAAACGCGAAAGAAGGGCCACAAGGGTGTCGACCTGCGAGGAAAGTTCAGCGACTCGTGCCTCACAGGCCGCAGGCAGAATAACCTCTGAATACTGCACCTTGCACGGGGGCATCCGGCGAAGCCTGCCGAGCCTCGTCCAGGGAACTGTGAAACCACAGAGCACACAACGAGGCTCGCAAGGGTCCCAATCGGCGCCATAGCAGTGGGAGAGCCCGGGGGCACCGGCCATACGACTGGCCCAACCGGTCATAAGATGTTTCCTTCGACCTATACAAAACCGAAGTCTTCGCACAGAGGAGTTCCCGAGTGCTTCACGCAGCTGGTCGGCGTCTAAGCTGTAAAGGAAGTTGATCGGCACCACCTCAAGGAGATACTCTTTCAAGAGGATCTTGCATGCATCCAGACGTTCCTGAACCGAGGTCAGGGCATCAAAAACGATGCAAGGGCGGTCATGGACCTGGTTCAAGCCGGGAAGAACCGGGCCCGCCATCTAGATAGTGTTGATTGTGGCTCAGATAGTGTTGAAAACAATGTTGCTCAGAAGCCACCTACCCTTCCTCCCACTAGCCTGGCACCTGGGAGGTACTTGGAAGATCAGTTTCTCTTGAAGGGACCTTTTGTTATGGTCTTGAAAGCATGTTCTGGTCTTGCCGACTCTTTTCAACCATCGTTCTTTTCAAAAACCGGCTGCTTCCCAACTGGGTTTTTGATGGTTTCCTGACAAGATTTCGGATCCCTGGGTTCAGAATGGAATTGGAAGGTACCCCTAGAAGTAAGTTCACATGACATCTCATGGAATTGGGCCCTGGCAAAGAGCTCCATATTCCCTCCCTGCCCGACCCATTCGGAATGGTTTCGCTCAGCGCAAAGGCTGAGAAAGCCCCGCTCGCGTTTTCGTGGTTCAAGATGGCTGCGGCTCCAAAAACCGGAATTCCAAAATGGCTTGCCCGATCGGTAAGTGGTTCCCATGGGTAATCCAACACCTGCGGTGTGCCCCTGCGATCGTTTAAAATTTTGATTGCCACACCCAGATGCGGGGCCGGCCTTTTTTTAGGCATCGGAACCCAGCTTAGTTTTCAAGATGGGAGGCCGAAAAATTCTCGTGGATGGACGGACGAAATCCATTTCGCAGGCGCCACTTTGAAATTGTGGGATTTCCCGTAACGTTGGTTGGAATCATTATTTTCAGGGGAATCGAATCATTCCAGGGTTTCGCAGGCACCACCTAAGAAACCCATTCGAATGACTCGATTCCCCTGTAAATACCAACAAACGTTTTGGTTTTTCATGGTGTCTTGGGTGGTGCAGGATTTCGTCCATCCACAGTACCACCGAAAATGAGACGGCAATCTTCGAGTCGAGCGGGAAGCCAAAATGAGACCAAAAGCCAAGTGACAAACATATGGGGCACTCAGAAAATGGCCTTGGCTTCCGTAAAGGAGTTGCTGGGAGATTTAGGGGTCCCGCCATCATGTTGGTTGAATCTGGACTTGACATCTTGACTTGTTGACCGAACATCATGTTGGCATGGCTTGAGAGGAGAAAAGGAAAGAGGCCACCAGGAGATCCTCTACCCAGCACCCCAGCGGACATGTGAAAAAGGTCACTCGCTCTTTCGTGCTTGGCTTTTAAGGGAAACCCCTCAGAGCAAAAAAGAAAAACGGCAACTGGATGTTTGGGTATTTCAGATTGGCCACTTGCCGGCCATTCCGTTGAAGCCAATCGCCAAGTGTTTGAGGCCAGCGATTCGGCCGGGGATTCCGGAGCAAACCGGAATCGCGATTCCGGGGATCGAATCCCCGGGGATGTCACATTCAGCCTTGAAAGGTCCCCAGCTTTGGTTTAAGCCAGGTTTGATCCTGGCCCATACTGTGGATGGTTGCGAAATCCATTTCGAGCCACTTTGAACCCATGCAAACCAAAACGTTTGTTGGTATTTACAGGGGAATCGAATCATTCCAGGGTTTCTTAGGTGGTGCAGGATTTCGCCCATCCACAGTATTTCGTGGTCACCTTAAATGCAAGCTCATTTGAGCCGTGATTTTTGTGGGTGGGTGACGGTTCGTGCCCACTGAGGTGGTTCCTGATTCAAATTCGTAGCCATCCAAGCGTCTTGCCAGCGAAGCTCGGGTTCATGGGGTGTGTCAAAATAGGTAACCCATGCACATGCCCTTAGTATGCATTCCGGATTTCAGGGCCCTCGAATTGATGTGAGCCATGCCTCCGCACTCCCTCAGTGCATGGCCAAAAAATACTATCAAGCAGCTTGTCGTGGCTCAAGCAGGAATGGAACTAGGCCAGTGTCAAACTCAGGCACCCTTGAGTGAAACAAATGAAGCCGACAGCAAACATTTGCTGCTGGAAGGGGCAAACCAAATTTGGCGCACGTACAAACACACTTTCAAGCACGGACACTTCCATGTGCTTCAATCCCTTGGCAAAAAAAACACACACCAAAAAACACAGATTTCCAGTAGTATCAGCTGTCCTTTAAAACCTGGGGGAAACCAAAAGAAATACAAAAAAAACCTGCCATGCAACTGGAAGGCCGCGAAAAACCCGGAAAGCGACCGCCGAGCGAAAGCTTCTCCGGGCGGAGCAGAAGCAGACGCAGCCGCGCCTCGGGCTCTGTGAGAGCCTTGAACTGGATCAGGTCCTGATGGGAGTGAGTTGCGACATACGGTGCAGAAACCAGAAAGGAACAGGGCGGTGGGAAACCCAAGAGTCCATGTTTGGTTTAAGGGAACCCAAGAAAATGGCTGGTTTTTTCAAGGGAAGCCCAAAGGTCAACCCGGGGATATCTGTTTTGACACACCTGCTCAGGGCTGAAGTAGTCTATTTTAGCACGGGAGCCGAATCTCCCAACCAGAAAAGGGGTAAAAAAGACTGGGGGATGGATGGGGTCAACATTCTTCCGGAAAATGTCGCGAGTCGAGTCTGTCCAGGGCTGTGGGAAATGGAATCCACGAATCTGTGATACGTTACAAAAAGGCCTCCCGAAGAGGGAAACCCCCCATTTGAACAGGGGATTCCCTTGTATCACAGAAGTGGGGATAAACCCCTTGATCCCACAACCCTGCCCTGGAATGACGGACGATTCCCCCTGAGGCCAACACACCATGGCTTGACAGACTTAAGAAACCCTGGAATAACTACCACCTAAAGGCTCCTGGCGGAAGTGGTTTATGGTTATGTGGTCTCTTCCTTGTTTGCGCCGTTCCATTTGTATAGTATTTTTCGTATTTCACCTGGTTTTCAAGGAAAACTGATGGAAGGACTCGATTCCCCTGTAAAGGCCAACGCATGGCTTCAACCATGGCTGAACGGATTTCGTCCCTCAGGTCCCGCGAAAACCGGATCCCGGCCAAGCCGGCCGCCTTTTGCTTGAGAACATCAATTTCTTCGCCTGCCAGGGGCTACCTGCCTAGGTCCTCCAGAGAGGTTAGAAGAAGGGTACCCGATTTCTGTAGTCTATTTTGGTAGGGGAACCCTCCCCCAAAAAAGGGTGAGAAAGGGCACGATCCTGGGGGACCCAGTAAAGAAGCTAACACATGTTTAGCAAGTGAGGTGAGGCAAATATCAACCAGCGACCTCGCTGATGCAATTCCGAGCCAACCTTTCTCGGGGATAGGGGCCCGAGTTTGAGGTTGTCCCTCCCAATGTTGACCCCACATTAATCAAACTCAGTTTATGAACTAGGTCCTCCAGTTGAGAGGATAGAATAAAGGTACCATTTTTTTGCTGTAGTCTATTTTAGTAGGGGAACCCTCCCCAAAAAAAGGTGAGAAAGGGCACCTGGCTGGGGGACCTAGTGAATAGGGGGTGTTCCCTCCAAAAGTGGTCTGATTCCCCACAGTTCACCCGGCTGAGATGGCACGGCTCAGCCGAAATTTTGGCCGCAGCAGCCATCTTGGGTCTTTGTGGCTTACAAGGACCTAGCCGTAGCCTACGATTTGAGCCAGCCGTTCAACGTGGAGACTCCCAAGGTCACAATGAGCGCTTTGTGGCTCAGGGTCTGAAAGCGGGGCAACGCAGCAACGCTGCCCGTGCTTGAGCATGCCCTTTCCCTCCTGTCCGGTCCACTAAAAACCGACACACCCAGAAGCTCTAGCTTTGGTGCAATCCGCTCGGGAGTTGTCCTTGTATTTTTCTTCTTACGACCCACCGAAAAGAGTGTCCCACCAAAAAGACACACCTTTGTGGCGTCTGGTTTGTCACAGTGCAGCAACTCAGGGATCGAGTGAGCCCCCTCCAACCTCCCCCCCCCCCCCCAAAAAAAAAAAGCAAGAAACGGCGAGCTGTCCCGCAGGCTGAGGTTGCATCTCTCCAACCTCAGGCAGAAACCGGGGAAGGGTGTGTTCCGAACCGAGTCT